GTTACGTCGGTTTTATAAGTGACATAAACAAACGAGATTTGACTTTTGAGTCGGTTATTAAACTGTGGTTAGATTTAGTAAAACCGACGCATGTTTTCGACGAAAAAGTAAACGTCACTTTTTAAAATGAAGTTAGTATAGAGACTGATTGGTAACAGCTGTAGTTTTACATTTTTTGCTGTAGAATTATGACTGTAGGTTTATTTGCTGTGACTGTATATTTTCTTGGTGTAGAATTTTGGCTATAGAATTTAAAATTTTGGAAAGTTGAAAATTATGTGCTTTAGGAAAAAAAGCATTCTACAGCCAAAAAAATGAATTAAGAAAATATTTTGGATGTAAGAAAAAAAGGAAAGCCAAAGCTTCTAAAGCTTGATTAGATATATTTCAAATCTTTAGAAATTTTTTTGCTTTGTAAAGACTCTAAAGCACTTGTCAATCAGGCCCATAGTTAACGTCACACGATGTTACGACGGTTATTAAACCAACGTTAACTTGTTTAAGTCAATTAATAACTGACGTTAAAGTCATTAATAACTGACGTAAAGTGCCGCATCTTTTGTAGTGTAACTCCAGATTTGTGAAGATTTTAGATTACTTTTTCTAAATCTTAAATTAATAACACCAAACTTTTAAAAAATCTTGATTGAATAACAATAGATTCTACATAACATTTACGGGGTGTTATTCAACCATGAAGTTAAAGTCAATTATTTAAGGTTTAGATTTGTTTTCTGATATTGGTTTTAAGAATCTGTTTGTGTGGATTTCAAAATCTCTGCAGTATATCTTGGATTTTGATTCTAATAGTTTACTCGTAAAACTCTAAAGAGGTTTCATTTCAAATGATTTAATATACAAAGATTTTACAAGTCTTTTAGTTTTGAATAACACCATATTTTAAAGTTAGATTTAGAATCATTAGTTGAATAACACCAAATATTAAAATCTAATGAAGTATAAGATCCAATAACACCAGATTTTAAAGTTAGATTTAGAATCATTAGTTGAATAACACTGGATTAGTATTGGATTTCAATTCTATTAAAATCCATCAATGAATAACACCACCTTAAAGTCACTAAAACTCTATTTAAATCACAAACCAATAACCACCCTCAGTAATTTACCATGAGAATTGAGTTTACACCTTAGGCCTAATACTAATACTGTAGTCTCCTTGTAACCGGTTCGGTTTGCTTAAATTTCGAATTAATTATTCTTTACTTTCGATTTTTGTTTATTATACCGAATCAGACCAAAACTGAATGGTTCTGTACTTTTCTCAAATCATATAAACTTTTAAAACCCTCAATTTGTCCGACGGTGTTACGCGACGGCGATATTCGGCGGCGGAATCGTTTCGTCTCACTCTCTCGGTTAATTCATCCAATATCTTTCCGCCGTCTCAAAAATGTCGTCTTCGAAGCGGAAGCGCGACGCCGAAACCGCCGCGGAAGATTGTGACGACGGTAGTGATAAGAGCAATACCGGAAACAGTTTCTTCGATATATATGGACCCGAAGTATAAACACCTTCTTCTGTATGATTTGATTGATTAGTGCTCAATATTGTCATATGTGAATTGAATCTTCTTCTTCTTCTTGGTAGGCGAAAGCAGAACTCGATTTCAAAAGCCCTGATACAACATTGAACTTACAAGTAGGTTTTGTGATGCAAAGGAGAGTTTTTTTTTTTTCGTAACTATTCTATTTTTGGAAGTTTATGATGATAAATGTAATAATTTGCATCATGGGTTTGATTAGGATGTTCAAGGACTTGTGACATGGGTTCTTGCAGAAGGTTTTATGCCTTCGTGGGTGTTTATTAAGGTATGAACAAGATTGATTGTGTTGTGTCTTTACGGTTTCTTTGAAGTTTAAATGACATTTTAAAGATATGGTTTTTGCAGAACAAGCCTCTCATTCCAAAGGTTGTAATGCTCTACCTTCCTGGATTGGATGCAGCTTTATACTTATCACAGTCTAAAACACTGTCTAGTTTGAAATCATGTTGCGGTAATCCTATCGCGCTTTTAGCTTTGAGGTTGGTGTAAGTTTTGGTGCTTCTCTTTACTTGGGGGTTTGTTGTGAATACAATTATTTGGTTGATTGTTGGTAAAGACTATCTTTTGATTTTATTCTTATGTTAGCTGTGTAGTTGATGAGATGAGGACAATCGATACGATCCTTACTTGCAAGGGTAAAAGAAAGAAAACTGTTACTAGTTCAGTGGAACCACCTCCTCTAGTATCTAGCCCAGGTAGTAGACTTCACTTGATGATTCTTGATCATTGTTCCTTATTAATTGCGAGGTTTCAGTGTTAACCAGATGTAACAGCCGTGCGTGGAAAATTTAGTGTCAGATTTTACAACTCTTCTCCCAATATAAGGCATTAACTAGATGATATCTTTCGCTTGTAGAAGCATGCACTCTGATGGGGAAATCATTCGTTGAGCTCACAAAAGATATACCATTCCCTGTTACTTATTATACTTTAAGTCGAAAGGAAATGGAACAAAATGGATACACTTTTGAAAAACTCGGTACGAGTTCTACCCATTTAAAATTAACAACTTAATCCTGTTTGAGCTGTTAAATTTTTGCTTTCGTGTAACATCATTTGCTTATTTTCTTTTGGTTATGCAGAATTTACACCTACACTTCCTGCACCAACAGGATCCTGTCCACACGAAATTGTGGCTCTTGATTGCGAGATGGTAAACAAACTATGTTTTCTAGCCTTTCATGATGATGCTTTGTGATATAATCTTTTAATATATCTTATTTTGTCAAAACATATTAACAGTTATTTTGATTATCCAAATATTTTATGGAGGTTTGCTTCTTTCCTTTTTGTTTCACCCTTAGTGTATTACAAAGGAGGGTTTGGAGTTGACGAGAGTGACACTGGTGGATATCCAAGGACAGGTATCTTCTTTCTTACTTCTTTAAGTATGTTAGATCTCGTCATTTATCTTACCAAGTTTCCATGGTCGTGCAGGTTCTATTAGATAAATTAGTCAAGCCAACAAATCCTATTACTGATTACAACACAAGGTAAGACATGCTAATATATGTGACTCTGTATATATCACATACGAATTTTAGAACAATGTCTGTTTCTAGTAGCTCTTAATAGGTATATGCCTAAAAAACACATTGGTTTGCAGGTATAGTGGAATAACAGCTGTGATGATGGAGGGAGTTACAACAACTCTTAAAGATATTCAGGTTTCACGAGATCCTTTTTTAACTTTTATTAGATACGGGTTAGGACATTTAAATTGAAGACTCGTAATGATCTAGTATAATTAGAGCCGTTTTGCTATGTTCAGGAAGAGTTCTTAAAGCTGGTTTTCAAAGAGACCATATTAGTCGGACACTCCTTGGAAAATGACTTGTTATCTTTGAAGATCTCTCATAATCTGGTGATTGACACTGCAGTATTATACAAGCATCCACATGGTAGATCTTATAAAACTAAACTTCGAATTCTAGCAAAAAAGTTTCTTGCTAGAGAGATACAGCTGTCTGAATCCGGACATGACAGCGTGGAGGATGCAAAAGCAGCCATGGATTTGGCACTATTGAAGATTAAACATGGCAAGAACTTCATATTCTTAACCTCACTATTAAGTCTTGTTTCTATTTCTCTGTATCCGTTTTAAGTGATTTTCTTTTCTGGCTTCCTCTAGGACCTGATTTTGGTTCACCACCGGAAGTGATAAGAAAAAAGCTCCTCGCCATTTTGAATGAGAGCGGGAAAACGACTTCTATAATCGACAATGTCAACATCGTGAAGCGATATGCTTCTGAGTCATCCAATTCAATTCCAGTTTTTTCTGACGACGAAGCACTTTCAAAGGCCGTGAAGGAGGTTAAAACTTCTGAATCCATTTATGCCTTTGTATTTCTCGCTGGCTACATAAAAGTATAATGTATGTGTCTTTTATATGCTACTAGGTAAAGAACAAGCGGTCACAATTCGTTTGGACACAATTCTCAGAATTGAATGCACATTTCCAGAGCAGAGCGGATGATCCACAGAAACTAAATTCCAGACTAGCCGAGATGATCTCATTGCTTACATGTAACAAAAACCCCGGGCTTAAGAAAAGCAATGTTTCACCTGAAACAAAGGAAATCTTAAAGAAAATGAACGATAGAGTCCAATCCGTTTACGCTGCATTACCCACAAATGCGATGTTTATAGTTTGCACCGGACACGGAGACACATCCATTGTACACAGGTTTGTAGCACTCAATCCAAATCTCAAGTGTTTTACACAAACAAATCTCTTCTGATTTGCGATCTGATTAAATTGTCTTACCCGTCTGTTTCTTGCAATATGAAGAGTGCGGAAAATGCTTAAAGATGAGAATGAAATCGGGTTTGACCGTGAGAAAGTTGTGAAGGTTCTCGAAGAGCTTCAAGCACAAGCCGAAGTAGCTCTCTGTTTTGTAGGTATCAAGCAATAAACTTAAACAGACGCCAATTTTTTCCCTTGTATACCTTAATGAGTAACAAGACACTCACAATTCAGTCTTGTAATTCTTTGATATTATTGGTTTGTAGCATTTCAAGTTTGGTTACAGTAAAAAAAAAATCAGAAAATGGCTAATTCCAGCATGAATTTACAGTAAATGAATCCACAAACAAAATTCCTATAAAACTAAATATGTAAAAAACTTATAGAATCAGGGAATTATCCATTATTACACCATTTCGAAGAACACCTAAGGTATTATTTTGTGTTCATCAATGGAAAAGTCCTTAACCAGTCGGTTATCTTAAACCAACAAAAAACAGAATACCGCCGCACGTGTAAAACACTCGGAGTCTTCTTTAGCGCCAAATTCCGCTCGTATCCTCAAAAAACCTAGACTGATCTTAATCAAACAATCTAAACCGTTGATTAAGCCCTTTTCATCTCAGCCGTTAGATTTCGGCGATCAAATTCTCATCAAAATTCAATTTTTTGATTTTTCAAAAAGATCTCAAAGAGAGAGCTATTCAAAAAAAATCTCTGCTCCGTCTCCAAATTATTTGCCATGGAAGATTTGAGTTCCAATCAGAATCTTCCGCCGCGTCAATCAGATTTCTCCATCCCTGCGGCGAAGATGGATTCGTTTCAGAAATCGCTAGAACCGCCGCCGAGTTCTCCGGCGAAATCTTCTCAAGAATCAGCCACGGAAGTCACACCGCCGCAGAAACCACCGCTTCACCGATTTGGTCACAACCAAGTTCAACAGAATCAATCAGAGAAGTGTCGAGTGAGGTAAATTGGTTAATTTCTCATTTAATCAAATTTGTTTCGATCTTGAGGAATTAGCGATTTGATTGTTTGGTATGTAGAAATCAAGATCCATTGGACTCAGTAAGAAATATTGAAGTTGAATCGAAAGAGAATACTCCAAATAAACAACAGAGACATTGCAATTGTAAAAACTCAAAGTGTTTGAAACTGTGAGTATCTCTCTCTCTCTCTTTGTTAATAGTGAATTTTGTAGATGTTTTGTTTATGCAGAGTCTTGTGATCTTTATAGGTATTGTGAATGCTTTGCGTCTGGATCTTATTGTAATGGTTGTAACTGTTTGAATTGTCACAACAAATTGGAGAATGAGTCTTCGAGGCAAGTAGCTATCACGGCGATCTTAGAGCGTAATCCGGATGCGTTTAAGCCTAAGATTGCTGGTAGTCCTCATGGAGTGAAAGATTTGCAGGTGTGTTATATCTTGTTTACTTCAAAAATGTAACTTTATGCATTTGTTGTTAGTTTTGTAACTTATATGCGGTGTTGGGAATGTTTCGAAACCGACTTGTAGGAGAATGTGCGGCAGATTCTGCTTGTTGGAAAGCATAGCAAAGGATGTCACTGTAAGAAATCAGGATGCCTCAAGAAGTACTGTGAGTGTTACCAGGCGAATATTCTATGTTCGGATAATTGTAAATGTCAAGATTGCAAGAACTTTGAAGGAAGCGAAGAAAGAAATTCTCTTCTTCATAGATCTCACGTCTCTGAAACTTACATACAACAGTTGACCAATGCTGCTGTTAACCGCGCCATCGACATGTCTGCTTATCTGAACCCTCCTGAATCAAGAAAGAGAAAGAGCAATGACACTTCACATTCTGTTGAAGCTAGAGGTTCATCTGCAGTTTCGTCACACGTTGTCCAAAATCAGAGGGTAAATAGTACAATCCTGCGTTTCTTTTTAATGGTCTTTAGCTTCAGTTTTTGCATTGAAAGCATAATTCTTTGTGTTTTTCGTGTTCCAACTAGGTAAACAGTGTTACAAGAAATGGAGACACTTCTCTATTTTCACTCCCTAACAAAAAGGCGGTATCCGGGTCTACAACAAGTGCTTACAGGTTGGAAATATCAAACCTTTCCTTTCTTTGATATTGCCCATTCGAAACTACCATGATACCTGACTGTTTACTTCTATAGGTCTTCTCTGTCAAATATTATCCAACCACATCATGTCAGAGAGTTATGTTCGCTTTTGGTCTCAAAATCGGTGAATGTAGCAAAGAAATTGTCAGGTACATATCATGCAGTAGAACAATAAGATCTTTTTACATATTATCACAATGTTGCATAGAAATTGTGATGTACAGGAGGATATGTTCCTCATATAATCAGATCTTTGTTAAGAGAATGTCTGATATGGTGAAACAGACAAAGGGAGGAAGAACGACAAAGACCCTTCATTTGATCGAACCCGAATAAATGCTAATGAGATCAATGACTCTCCAGATTGTGTCCTTGATGCTAATAGAATAGACGAGAAGCCTTTATCTCCAGCAACACGTGCATTGATGTGTGACGAAGAAAATGATATCGGGTCAGAGAAAGAGACGTCGGCCCGAGTGAAAAGAAGGCAAGAGAAAGAAGGCACAGACACAAGCTCGGTTATTTACTTAGAACAAGAAAGACAGATCTTGTCAAGCTTCAGGGACTATCTCATTCATCTCTCAAACCGTGCGAGCGTAAATGGTAAGCTTGCTTTTAACTTAAGATCTTATCCTTGTAGAGGATGTGCTAATTTAAGAGATTATTTTAAGCAGGAACAAATATCAAAACCAACACAAATCCAAGCTGAAAGAAACCAGAAGATGAAGAACAAAGCCATCGAGATTCGAGACTCAAGTTTTTGGGGCATTACTTAGGGAACTTTTCTGACAACAACTTTAGGATCTAACTCATTTTAACGTACGATCCATGTCACATTTTTTATTTAAAGGGAAAAAAAGTTATAGGAAGATTAGACATAATTTAAAAATGGTGTGAAGTTGAGTACCAATTTGCTACATAGCTTGCAAGTTGCAAGTTAAAAAAAGTAATCATTTTTTAAAATGGTCCGTAGATTTGTTTTATTTTTTTCAATCCACACTACTACATATTATAGTTTATGAATGGTAAATAAAAAGCGGTCCGAACCGCAAACGTATTTGTCTGCTCTAACCGCCATAACCATTCGAACCTTTATATATCTGAATTATATCGTTGTGATAGAACATACTCCGAGTAGTTAGAAATTTGAATTTCATACTATATTTCATGTTTTGTGTATGCCATAAACCTGTTACTAAACCGTGAAATCTCGACTACATAGATTTTTCATTTTTAACATTTGATCCATGTCACGTTAAAAAAAAAAAAAAAAACAAAATTTAAAATGTTTTAAAGTTTATGAGTAAATGAGTAAAAACTGTCACCTACTTTCAAGTTAAAAAAAACGTCTATCCCCAAACCAGATTCGAAGATAATGGGCTTTGCGTATCTGTTTAATTAATAATGGGCTTTAGAATAATATAGGTCCAACCAATTACATGACCCGACCCGTCTGTAAAACAATTCCGTCTTCTTCATCATCGGCTTAACACTGCAAAAACAAAAAACTAAAAACCCTAGGCACACTCTTCTCTCTATCCGCAAAGCTTCTTCTTCCTAAAAGCGATTTCTCTCTCTTTCTCGATATCCATAGAGAGAAACTTCGATCTCAGTTTCGAAATCATGGCGGCGGTAGTTGATATTGATGCCCTATCGGCTCAGTTAGGGGTTAATTGGTCTGAGGTTAATCTCGATTCAATCCAACTTCCTCCTGGAAACAACTTTGGGATCGAGAGGTTAGATTTTCCATTAGATCTCTCCGCTTCTTAGCTTTTGTAGAATCTTCGTTTCAAATCTGAGAAATCTTATATCTAGTAACGTATGAACAATGAAAACTTTTTTTTGTTTATGTGGTGATTGGTAGTGATGATGAAGCTGTATACCATGATGATCAGTCAGAATTCGACACTGGATTTGGTAACATTATCGTTGTTGATCACCTCCCTGTTGTTCCCAAGGAGAAGTTTGAGAAACTAGAAGGTGTTCTCAAGAAAATTTATAACCAGTTAGGTGTGATTAAGGAAAATGGACTGTGGATGCCTGTTGATCCCGATACGAAGATGACATTGGGCTACTGTTTTATTGAGTTCAATACTCCTCAGGTTGTTATCTACTCGCATCTCTGTGTTTAGTTAGTTTGCTTAAGCAATAATGTAGGAGACAGAACTAGATTGTTTGACAATGGTAGTGTATATTCTAAGAGTTTGTTTCAATGTCTGGGGCTCTTTGCAGGAAGCACAAAATGCTAAGGAAAAGTCGCATGGCTACAAGTTGGACAAGACTCACATCTTTGCTGTTAACATGTTTGATGATTTCGATAGGTTGATGAATGTGAGGGAGGAGTGGGAGCCTCCTCAGGCCAGGCCTTATGTCCCTGGGGTACGTGTACTTGTTGTCTTTTGAATAACTTCCACTGTGTCTGTGCAATCACTTCTTTATTTTGGTTATTCTCTGATTGATTCAGTGAATTCATGTGTTTGCTAGCTGAATTAGTGTTAGGATCTGTTTTACGCATTTGATGTATACTAACCAATAATTATAATTGCAATACTCTTATTGCATGTTTATTTCTTTATTGAATGCAGCCTTTTTAGGTGATTTTTCGTTACTTATATGGTGTTTGTTTTTCAGGAAAATTTGCAGAAGTGGCTTACCGATGAAAAAGCCCGGGACCAGCTAGTCATTCGTTCAGGCCCTGATACTGAAGTTTACTGGAATGATGCCAGGCAGAAGAAGCCTGAACCTGTTCATAAGCGTCCTGTTAGTTTCTTACATCTTCCTGTGTATCTCTTATTTGTTACTTGACTGTTTAGAGCAATGTTATATGTTATGTTACCATCATCTGAATTAATGATGTTCTCTTCCTATGCAGTATTGGACAGAGAGTTATGTGCAGTGGTCTCCTTTAGGTACATACCTTGTGACACTTCACAAGCAGGGGGCAGCTGTTTGGGGTGGTGCTGATACATTCACGCGTCTCATGCGTTATCAGCATTCTATGGTTTGAATTTCCTGTTAATTGCTACATAGTACTTCCGTTTTTCCTCTGTTGGCCTGAGAATTGACACCTTTTGTTGATTCTGTTTTAGGTCAAACTAGTTGATTTCTCGCCAGGTGAGAGATATCTTGTAACTTACCATAGCCAAGAACCAAGCAATCCGAGAGATGCAAGTGTGAGTTCATTTTTGACTCTGTTCTTTCCAACTTTTATTTGTATATCATTTCTATGCAAAGGATTCTGATTGCTGTCAAAATTACAGAAAGTAGAGATTAAGGTCTTTGATGTGAGAACCGGGAGGATGATGAGAGATTTCAAGGGTAGTGCTGATGAGTTTTCAATTGGAGGACCTGGTGGTGTTGCTGGTGCCTCTTGGCCTGTTTTCAGGTAATTTCTTCAATTGCATGTCAATGTCCTAAAAATAAAGAGTCAAAATCTATCCTCTGGTCTACTATTATGCACATTTGTTGATATCTTGTAAAACTTTTCTGTAGATGGGCTGGTGGAAAAGATGATAAATACTTTGCCAAGCTTAGCAAAAACACCATCTCTGTCTATGAGACTGAGACTTTCAGCCTAATAGACAAGAAATCCATGAAGGTTGATAATGTTGTGGATATTTGCTGGTCTCCCACTGATTCCATCCTTTCATTGTTTGTTCCTGAACAAGGTGGTGGAAACCAACCTGCCAAGGTATGTTTTTTTTTTATCTTATGTAAATGAAAAGCCCTGAAACCTCAATACGCTTCGGTTTCTCTGCGAGTTGTTATGTAGTTACATGTTGTTATCCCTTTCTTCAGGTTGCTCTAGTCCAAATCCCGAGCAAGGTGGAGCTGAGGCAGAAGAATCTCTTCAGTGTGAGCGACTGCAAGATGTACTGGCAGAGTAGTGGAGAGTATCTTGCTGTTAAGGTTGATCGATACACAAAAACTAAGAAGAGCACATACTCTGGATTTGAGCTTTTCCGTATCAAAGAAAGGGATATTCCCATCGAGGTTCTTGAGCTGGATAACAAGAACGACAAGATCATTGCTTTCGCTTGGGAGCCCAAGGGTCACAGGTTTGCTGTGATTCATGGTGACCAACCAAGACCAGATGTCAGTTTCTACTCGATGAAGACCGCACAAAATACTGGAAGGGTTTCAAAGCTCGCAACGTTGAAGGCCAAACAAGCCAATGCCCTCTTCTGGTCGCCCACAGGAAAGTACATCATTCTTGCTGGGTTAAAAGGTTTCAATGGCCAGCTTGAATTTTTCAACGTGGATGAGCTCGAGACAATGGCCACAGCTGAACACTTCATGGCCACGGATATCGAATGGGACCCAACTGGAAGGTACTAGTGTCTCAAAACTAAACAAGTCCATTGGTTGGTTTCTCTTTGTTCCAACTGGTGATGTTTTTTGCACTTTTTTCTTTTCAAAGGTACGTTGCAACCGCAGTGACATCAGTCCACGAGATGGAGAATGGGTTCACCATATGGTCTTTCAACGGGAATTTGGTTTACCGGATACTGAAGGATCATTTCTTCCAGGTATGTAACAAAAAACTCGGTCTCAAACTAGCATCATCCGTTACGATGTCTAATAAAATATTTGTGTATGGTTACACAGTTGGCTTGGCGTCCAAGACCGCCATCATTCTTAACTGCAGAGAAGGAAGAAGAGATAGCAAAGAACCTGAAGAAGTACAGCAAGAAGTATGAGGCAGAGGATCAGGACGTGTCGTTGCTGTTGAGTGAACAAGACAGAGAGAAGAGAAGGGCATTGAAGGAAGAATGGGAGAAATGGGTGATGCAGTGGAAGTCTCTGCATGAAGAGGAGAAACTCGAGAGGCAAGATCTTCGAGATGGTGAAGTTAGTGATGTGGAAGAAGATGAATATGAAGCCAAGGAAGTTGAGTTTGAGGATCTTATTGATGTCACTGAGGAAATCGTTCAAGAGTCGATGTAAGTTTCTCGGTCTCTTTTGTTACCATCTCTTAGTGTTCTTCGGATCTCTTAGACTTCGCATTCTCTAAACTTGGAAGAGAAGTTTTGTTTCCTTGGATATTGTTATATCATTATTAAGTTTTCGTAATTACACTTGAAGGGTTATAACATTCTTATAGAAGAAAAATCTTGCGATCAAAACTCATTCCACACACAATTATACCAAACTGAAGAAATCCAAAAAAAAGGGTTTATGAAATTTGGCTTTTGGGTAACTTTAGGTTCATATTCATGTTCTTCCATGAGTATAACTCATACACTCTTGTGTAAGAGACCAGCACGTCGTTGGAAACCAGTAGCTTCAAACGGCAGGATGTGTGTAAGTGATAATAATCCCACATCGCTAGACTAGAAACAATGACTGGGAAATACAGGAGTATAAATAGAGAAGTGGCTGGATCGAGCAAATTACTTACCTGGACGGGGTCAACTCGCGATCAATAAGACGAGTGGCCTAGGCTAGTGACCGCATTGCACATATCGTTGGGGTGCTATGCTTAAGGTCTTCCCTTGAGGAAGAGCCTACGTCATTATTTGTGGCAGAGGGGGTTTGCGTTCGCGCAGCCCCTACCATCATTAGTCTTAATCTTGATATATTCCAATAATTATCTCGTAGGTCATAATTGAAAATTTTTAGAACTTTTTGATTATTTGTTTTAGGTACAGAGTCCCACATCGGAAGTAAGTATCAAGTTGATGGATATTGTATGACTATAAAACAAAGAGGCTTTGGTTTATATAAAAGTATCTTTGCGCTTGGGACAATGACGCAGCTAATGAGGTCTTAACCGAGGCGCGTCTATTGCTGGTTGAAAACTATTTCCAAACCCCCTCCTAGGCCTAAGCTTGTCTTGGGCCTTCGAGAATTTCTGGAAGAGCTCCCTCCGGGGTAAAGCTCTACAATTCTTAGTTCAATATTTTTTCTTCCAAGGTTAGTTCAATAATTCGTTAATGTATATTTTCCCTTTCATTATTATTGAATCAAAGAACATCGGCTATGATGATATAAACTATAAATGAGTAATGTTTTGAACACAACCAAACTCAGCGCCTGTGTAGTGTATAAAGAATTAACCTCAAGTACAAGAGGAATACCAGCAAGAATTGCAAAGGGCTAAGCATATAAAAACTACTTGAGCTTGGGTTTGATGACTTCAATGCATCCCATTAAGGGGCTCATGGATCACCACGGATCCATCTTCTTGCTGGTAATTCTCCGGCAAACACACGACCGCACACGCCGTTGCGTTTAGAGTGTGGACGAAATTAGTAGCTGGAAGATTCGTTTTGCCTTACCCGTCTCCGACTTTGGTAATCCATGCAGTTTGATGCTCTTGATATCTAGGTTAGAAGTTAAAACAGCAAGCTCAAAGAATAAACTAAGGTAATTGGTTCTATTGGGCTGTGTCTTTCTTTATCTTTTTTTTTTTTTTTTTGGCTCGGGGGGCTTTGTATATAAAGTTTGTGTACACGTCCGAGTCAATGATGAAACTTTTCATTTTTTCATCATCTTATTAAAGGCTGAAAGAGACTTTTCATTTTGCTATCATTTAAGTATAAAAAAGGACATGTGATTATAGAACCTTGTCTTTTTTTTTCTTGGTTTCTGAAACATAATTTCGCAGGGTCGATCTAATATTTCTTGCTGCGATAGATCCTTGTTGTCTCACCACAATCTCCGTTCGATAGATCCAACCAAAAGCCTTATCGCCAGTATATGCATCTTATAGTGTCTGGTTCCAATCGATAACCAAGTTGAAGGGTATCATCATCTATGGTGTTGACTCATTGGTTGTTCTTCCCTGTGCAGATTTTCCATTCACAATCACTGATGATGGCTTGGAGGAGAGCTTCCCAAGTTTGTAGCGGTCCATTGTTAAATATTTTTTTGTTTCTTGTTGTCCAGATTGCACATATAACTCAAGGAGACAATGGTCCCTCTCCTTTACCAGTTGGTGCAAGGCAAGTGATTTAATTTTTTTCGAATTCATTAATAAAGATTGGGTGAACGACATGTGTCCCCCCCCCACGAAGTTTTATATAGTACCATAACAACATAGATTTCGGATCTCGTCTCCAGTCCACACAAAACGAAAGTTAAACTCCAATTTCTCCCTAAATTGAAAGTTCGAGACCTCAGTCTCCATAAATTCAAATTTCGTGGTTTATTATTGGTTTACTATGCTGAACCCGATGTCAAACCAAAACCTAGAATAATAAACCGGCCAAAACCTAGAATAATAAACCGGATAATAAACCATCCTCCTCTCTCTCTCTACCTTCTTCACCATCTTTAATCCGAGAGAACATCAATAGCCTTGTCAAAAAGTAAGTAACATAATCATCAATTCTGCAAAATTTTATGATGCCCAATTGCTTATGGTACAACCCGAAATCTTTATAATGCCCAATTGCACAAGTTGTACCCTAAGCATTTGCCCAATTCTGCAAATGCTTATGGTACAACCCGAAATCTATGTTGTTATGGTACTATATGAAACTTCGTGGGGGGGGGACACATGTCGTTCACCCATAAAGATTTATCGAAATTAAGTATCTAACCAAATGCCCAAAAAACAAGAATGTGACGACAAAAATAAAAGTGTTTATTTATTTATTATTAAATAAAACATTAAAGAAAACAAAAATGTATTAAAAGTTAACTAAAACACGTCATTAAGAATCAGGTGGCTAGGCTAATTGTGAAAATTTGCATGCCGTTGACATAATTTTCTTAACAAAAAAAAAAAAACAGAACACCAAATCTTTTTCTCCCACCGATCACCACCGGAGCTATGGAATCGCCGATTACTCAAGCCCATGTGTTTAGATCGGAGTTTCTTCGTCTGCTTCAGAGTCGACGATCACCCAAAGGTTATAATCAAAATTTTAATTAGATTAATTCTCGCACTTGTTATTAACTATTATTTCATTTAATTTCCCAATCTCTTAATCACAGATTTAATTGATTTATCATTTTTTTCCTTAAAACTCTTTTGATTAATCTCTAAAATCTTAATCTCCAGTTCCATTAATAGCCAATTCTTCAAATCCTGTCGAAAATCCTCTCTTTCAAGCTGATGTTCCTTCTACAAAAGTGAGATCACAATCCTTTTTTTTTCTCTTCAAAATTTTGTTTCATTTTTTAAGTTAACAATTCATTACCAAACACAGGCAATAGAGTCTTGTCCAAAAGAAAACATTGGTAACTTAAAAGAAATGCTTAAAGAAGAAAACCTTCATTTGCACACTGAGGTAACATTTTTTATATATATATTCAACAAATTTTCTGATATTTTTTGTATGTGTTAAATTGTTTTCTATGTAATGGTTTAAGGATTCAGAGCAAGGGAAATTACCTTTACTTATTTTAAGCTTGAAAGAGAGGACTAAAGTAAGAAGGCCCGCGATTGTGTTTATGCATGGCACAAACACAAACAAAGAATGGTTAAGACCATGGCTTGAAGTAAAACTAACATCAATAACTTTTGATTTCTCCTTTAAGCAACATTACTTTGTTGATTAATACTTTTTTTTTTACTTAGGCATATGCTTCGCGGGGATATGTAGCCATCGGTTTAGACTCTCGGTACCACGGTGAACGTGCTGATTGCAAAACTGCCTATCGAGATGTAATATCGTTGTTACGAATCATCGTTTATCTAATGATTCTTCTAGTGTTTAGAGTTCTGATATGGGTTTTTGGTGTAAATATTGATGTAGGCTCTTATATCATCTTGGAGAAATGGAAACACAATGCCTTTTATCTTTGATACTGTAAAAACATTTGTCTCTTTTTTAGCTTTTATTTTTTGGTTTCGCTTTAGAGTGTAACACATCTTATCGTTTTTTTTTTCTTTCTTAGGTATGGGATTTGATCAAACTAGCTGAATATCTTACTCAGAGGGATGATATAGACCCGAAAAGGATAGGAATCACCGGTATTTCGCTAGGAGGTCAGTCATACAACAAATTGAGTAGCATGATTTGTAGTTATAGTTATACATTCTAATTTTGTTCATTGTGAAAGAAACATACAGGGATGCATGCTTGGTTTGCTGCTGCAGCTGATACCCGCTATTCCGTGGCTGTTCCTTTAATCGGTGTTCAGGTGCAAAATCATCGTTAGTTTCTTTTGCTCTTTCTTAGCCAAATACCGATAAACAGCGTAGCAACTATGAGGCATGTTGTTGTTTGTATGAGGATGTTTCCTAATTCAAAAACTTTTCAATGTCTTGTATGTTGGGCAGGGATTTAGATGGGCAATAGACAATGATGAGTGGGAAGCAAGAGTCAACAGTATAAAACCTTTATTTGAAGGTCAGATTCTGAAAAACACAAAGTGATTCAATATAATATGTACGAGGATTATAATTCCTTTGTTTTTTTTTTTTCTTCTACGGTTTCAGAAGCAAGGATCGATCTCGGAAAGAATGTAATCGACAAAGAACTGGTCGAGAAGGTATAGAAGCTTGAAAGTGACTACGAATTCGGATTGCAACTCAATTATAATTGGTAAGTATTTATTGACATAACAGGTGTGGAACAGAATAGCTCCTGGCCTAGCTTCTAAGTTCGATTCGCCTTACTCATTACCAGTGATTGCTCCGCGGCCTCTTTACATCCTTAATGGTGAGCACAGTCAATATATGCTCATTATCTATCGACACACTTACAAGTTTTGCCGCGTTACATATGCAGGCGCAAATGATCCTCGATGTCCTCTTGGCGGACTAGAAGTTCCGTTAAAGAGAGCTGAGAAAGCGTATAAGGAAACTGCTTCTCCTGGAAACTTCAAGGTAAACTTCTGATTTAGTCTATAATTCTATTGCAACCAGAGAGAATTTTAAAAAAAAAACTTTTGATATTTCGAGAGAGCAGTTCAAAGCAGAAGATGGAGTTGGGCACGAAGTGACGAGTTTCATGATCAAAGAATCATCAGACTGGTTTGACAAATTCCTTAAAGAAGAAGATATGACTTGCGATTAAACCGATTGTAATATTGGTAAAATTGTGAACTAATAAGAAGAATCATCTCCTTGTAAACCTTACACATGTGAAACTTAATAATGTATTCACTCTCGCAAATCATTATCATTACAAATTCAAAGAAAAAAGCAAGAGGATCATCATCCTTTCTTTGGCATTGCGGCGAGGCGCGTGTACATGCGTGCCATTGAATTGAACCCTCTCACATCCCCAGATCTTAGAAGATTCCCTTTCATAGCAACAACCCCAACAACAAAAGTGTCAAAACACACAGATTTCAGTAAAAAGCAGTTGCATACTATAAAACACTGAACTAGTTTTGTACCTGAGTCGCAGTTAAGAGGACTGTCCGGCTCAGGATGAGCCATCAATGCTATGATAGCTCTACACACGGACTGAAGCGTCCAAGCGGGACTCCACGCATTCTTCAATATGTCGAGGCAAATTTCCCCTGTCTACAAATTCCAAATAATAAAAAACAGTGCCCTTTTTTTTTAAACCGGAGAGATTATTAAAAACTGCAATCATCATTTCACCTTGAAATGCACATTTGGATGAAATATTTTGGTCAAGAATCGCACTTGAGGAGGTTGCAAAGGATATGGTTCAGGAACAGCAAAAGCAAGCTGAAAAACACCGCCTTCATAAGGAGTCTCCGACGGTCCCTGCAACAATACAACAACAACGACAATGTTTCAAAAACAGAAACCACAAACTTTCCCTGCAAAATGAAGGAAGCTTTTTGGTTTTCTTATCAATAATTTCTCCGAAAAAAAACCTTGATAAGAGCGGTCCATTTGAATATGTTGGTATCATCACACACCAATTGAATATCTGGATCAGCTACTTTCTCTCGCTGAACCTCTTTGTATTCTTTAAAGAGTCTCGCTCTTGATGCCTATACATGAATCAATCAATCAATCACACACACATACTTAGTCAAAGTTTTGCAAAAAAAAAAACATAAAAATTGGCAATTTTTTACCTGCATCTCTCTAATCGTCCAAAAAGAACAAGATCGAATTTGTCAACTGCAAAACACAAAACAAAGAATCTAAAAAATCAAGAACTAAAAAAAAAAAAAAACTAGTTCGGTCGTGTTCGTTTCAAAATCGCCAGCGGCTGCGACTAATCGCAAGTTTGTTCGTTTTGTTATCGCTGCGACTGATTTTTTAAAATTCCAAAACTAATACATTTTTAATGATTATTTGTGTATTTGGTTATCAAATTTTTTTAATCTTCATTATTACCAAAAAAAACAAACTTGCAAAAGAAGACAGATATCTGCTTGGATATTTGCAGAGAGAAACCAAACATATCACATGATTAAAGAATAACGTGCACACAATGCTCAAAGCCAGCTCATATCTATAATAACGTTCATGATACTAATCTCATATCTATACTATTACTAACGTTAAAGAATAACGTTCATGATACTAATCACTATACTATTCTAAACTAAAGATGAACTAAGCCAATATTGCTCTAAAATTTTTAAACAATAAGCATTCATAGCCTAAATGGAGATCAAAGTCAACACAAGAAAACAAAAAACATACAGTTGGTGATGTAACTGAGGACAATGAGAAGAATCTGTCTACAGGCTGAAACTTTCTTGACCTCTTAGCACTGCAAAATGGGTTCATATCAAAATCAATCAATCGCTAAACCTAACCTAAGATTTTTTAAAAAAATTTATCATGAAAGCAATAACAAAGCTTCTCAAACCAGTACACAACAAGGTGAAGCTAACAAAACAAGAAAGAAAACAAATCAAGAATACAAATAGAGTTCACTCATAAAAAGACTAACAATGCCAATAAGAAGAATAACACAGAAGAAAAAGAAAGAAACACATAACAAAGAGCCAAAGTGACTAGCTTAAATCAAAGATTCAGAAAACTAAAAGAAGAATGCAAAAGCAGAAGAGCTAACCTACACCTAATGACCTATTACAAACGTATTTACACAAGGAGAGACAATGGAGGAAGGGCAAAAAACGTCTATCATAATCAGAGCATCACTAAAAGCGACATGGAAAACATCTGGCTGAATCTTCACAGAGAGAGTTCATAGTGTCATCATCATGAAAGCAACGAGAATTTTTACAAAACAAAATTAACTTCCAGGATCCATATCGCTCACATAAGTTCAAAGAACAACGATTGATGCAGAACATGAAGAACCAAGTTCAAAATGTAAGAAATTAAAACCTTGGAAAGAAGAAGGGCTTGTTAAGATATGAGGAGGAACTTTGTTGATGTGTTCCGAGGTTAAACTCTGAATCTCATTCTTCTGCAATTTAACAAAGAATCAGCCATAAGCCAAAACTCAAAAAACCCACAATAGAGATTAAAGAGAAAAACCCAGAAAGCAAAACCTTAGAAATCAATTTTGATGTTGCACAAGGGAAAATTAGAGAAATTACTTCGACTTTGGCTCGAGGAGTAGAGGTTTCCGATGGTAGATCTTCGGCTTGGGGTGATGATTCCGGCAAAGAAAGAGGAAGTTCCGGTGGAGTTCGAATCGGAGAAAGTTTCTTTTGCCTCCGACGACGAATCACTTTGGTTTTGGTTTGAGAGATCTCGATCTGTGATGGGAGTAAACAAAACTAGGGTTACGAATTTAGTAGTTATTCACTAGACATAAGGACATTTTTGTCATTTTACGCTTTTAGTCACAACTTTTCCACTCGCATCGCTAATTTACCCTGTTGATTAATACTTTTTGTTTACTTAGGCATATGCTTCCCGGGGTCATAGGCCTGGACATTCGGTTAATCATTCGGTTTCGGTTCGGTTGCGTTCGGTTTCGGTTAGTTTGTATATGGTAATATAATAACCATTCAGATATTTTACGAATTTCGGTTCGGTTCGGTTCGGTTTGGATATTTAAATAGATAACCGTAACTAACTAAACTTTTATCACGTTCGGTTTGGTTCGGGTTTTTACTTAAAATAACCGAAATTTACCGAAACTACCCAAAACTATCCGAAAAAAATACAAAAAGAAAATACAAAAAAGAAAATTATTAGAAAGAAAATTAAAATTTGATTCAATTTTTTAAAAGAGTATTTAACTTTGACAAATATAACAAACAATATTTGGATATTTTGATTATTTAAAGTATTTGATTGTTTTGATTCTAAAAATAATTAATATTTTGAGTTTATAATTATAATTTTGGATATTATTTTTGGGTATCTTATATGTTTTTGGATATTTCGGTTAACCGTTTGGTTATCGGTTCGGTTTCGGTTAGTTTGGATATGGGATTTTACTAACCATTCGGTTATTTTAAAAACTTCGGATATGGTTCGGTTCAGTTCGGTCGGTTATTTGGTTAGCGGTTTTTTTGCCCAAGCATTATGTAGTCATAAAATCTCCCCTTTTTATATAATCATTTCCTCTTCGTAAAGATGTTAATATGGGTAAACCCACCCCATTTAGATCCACCTCATTCAAAACCTATCCCATTTACTGTAAATCCATATAAGCCCATTTAAGTTTATAGCCCATTTATTTTAATCCATTTAAATTTCATTGACCCATTTAAACCCATTTAGACCCATATAACATTGTTTTGTTTAAACCAATATTATAATCAATAATTATTTAATTAATTATTTAAAATTTATAAATTATTTTATTTAAATCAATTGATAAATAATGATATAACTGTACTTATTATATTGTTGAAAAATAATATAGTTTTGAAAAAACGCAATTTTGCGGTTTTGGCGGGAAAAATACAGATATGTGAGGACACAAATTTGGTGACAAAACAAAATTTCACGATTTTGGCAAAAAAACAATGTTTTGTGGAAAATAGTTTTTGGAGATTAAACGCAATTTTACGTTTTTGGCGGGAAATCGTGGGATTATGGTTTTGGCAGAAACCATTATTTTATGGTATGCGATGCTTTGGTGATAAAGCGCCATTTTGAGATTTTTGAGGAAAAACACGGTTTTACGATTTTGGCGGAAAACACGATTTTACGACTTAGGCGGAAAAACAAGGGTTTGCGATTTTGACAGAAAAACACAATTTTACGATTTTGGCGGGAAAACACGGGTTTACGGTTTTGGCGGGAAAACACGGTTTTACGATTTTGGCGGGAAAACACGGTTTTGCAATTTTGGCGGGAAAACACGATTTTGCGTTTTGGCGGAAAAACACGGGTTTACGGTTTTGGCGGGAAAACATGGGTTTACGGTTTTGGCGGAAAAACGCTATTTTGTGGTGATAAAACGTAATTTTTCAATTTTGGCGGGAAAACATAGTTTTAAGATTTAGGCGGAAAACGCGGTTTTACATATTTAAAAAATATATATATTTAAATCAAAAATTGAATTTAAGTAGAATAATTTAGTTTTAATGTATTTAATAGATTGCTCTTTTATTTTAGTTATTAAGGGATTAATATTTTTTAATAAATATAACTAATATAAATAGACGTAAATGGGTAACCATTTATTTGTGTGACACCCCATTTAATAAATGGGTTTAATTGGGGTAACCCGTTTAACCCCATTTAATATTTTCCCTTAAATGGGTTTATTTTACTTATACATACCCATTTATTAAATGGGGGTTCCATGCCCAAGTTAACATCACTACCTCTTCGCTATAATTTCCTTCCTACTTCCTTCATATATTAGTTTGTTTATACTTCTGATCCTAAATACCTCATTCGTGGTTGTATCCACTATGTGTCTGTAAATTTGGTATCAGAGCCATGGCAGTCTAAGCTTTATCTGTTACCTTCCTGAGTCGTAGTACATCCTAAGGTTGTTTTTCTCCACATCAGAAATTCGGCTAAGCTAGATAAAGAGAGTATAGAGAAAGAAATTTGTGAGGTCGTAATACTCGAAGTACCTTGAGGCTTCAATGGTTGATTAAGATTTTTGCCTCAATTTGCGTAGCTAAGTACCTCTTGATTATTTTCTTTATATTCTTAGCAATTGTTGAAATAAGAAAAACAACTCAAGGTTGGTTATTACCTCAAGGGTAAGGTAAGATATAAAGCATTTTGTTATGGTTTCTGGCCTCTACATACACTATGGAAAGTTCATCTTCTTTAATAAAATCCTCTTCTTTCAGAAAATCAAACGCCAGTAAAATAGACTATCTATATGAAGTAGAATATGTAAGTGATGAAAGTAAAGTTCCTATTACCCAACTTCCTTTATTAAATCCCTATAAGGCTTTCACAAAACCCAACTCTACTCTCCCAAAAATCATAAAAAATGTTTTCGGTCCACACAAGCATGCGGCGAGAGAACTTGTTCTAGCCTCCCAGCTTGAACAACATCTTGTCCCGGCAACTGAGGCAAAACAGATGATTCCTCTCCGACTCAACGAGGGTATGATTCACCAGTGGAGAGCTCATGGTTACACCCACCTTCACTATGGAGCGATACGCCTAGCTTTAACCCTCCATGAAAGAAAAAGTCTACATGTTGTAGCAAGAGTCGCTCTTCTCGACACCAGATACAGAGAATATCAGCACGCTTGCATCGCAATAATCCAGACCACTATGAACGCTGGTACTATCTTTGTCACACTATTCCCAAATTTCAATGTGGCGCTTGAAGATCCCCAGATCTACCAGAATATGCAGATCTAGCTCCAAATCACAGGTGCTCAACAAGTCGGAAATACTTATGCGGCAACACTCCACCATCAAATGGCGTACCGAGTCCAAAACCATGCTATGGATCTTAGCCTTCCTAGAGATACAGAGGATGCTTTGCTCATTCAGCTGGAATCACACCACAGCCCTTCATGCATCCATATTCCAAGACAAATCCCTAGAGAAGAACTGGGCAAATTACTTCCTAAATCATGGGTGACCAACTATGAGAAACTCCATGATAGAAGTATTCCAATACAATCGGTGGATTCCTCTATTCACAGAAGAAATGACGGAGCAGTAGAGATTGCCTTTAAGCAACAAGAAGAAAAGCCAAGACTGACAGCTTTCTGCACAGAAATCAATACGATCTCTCCAACAGAAGATAATCGTGATGAGAAATTATACAAGCAACTACCTAGCGTTCCAATCGAGTCGTTTGATTCACTCGGATATCATGTCTACTCATTTGCTGATGATACAGGTCACAAATTCTTTGATGTTTGTGATTGTGAATAATGCTTAATGAACAGTTCTGATGAAGAATACACACCAAGACGAAGAAAGAAGAAATCTTCTCAACAAATTCTCAAAGAGCGTTGAGTCGGGAGACCCGCAAGTCAGCCTACTTGGAGAACCGAGCGGAAGAAATTTTGAATACTATGTATTATACCCAAGTAATTTGACCCATGCCACTTTAGATATACAAGAAGTTCGATTGAGCTACATGTTTGGTCCTCCATCAGATCAAGCACCATCATTTCCATCACAAGATTTTGAAGAAAACAACATCAAGCATTCGTGGAAGATCAGAAACCCGAACATAAAGAATTCAGACGGTTCGATAAAGCAAATCAGCGCAGCATAAGCAACGCTAAATTGGTAATTAGAAAATGCAGCAACTCAAAATCACCTACTAAGCAAAATTGACAAAAAGGTAACCTTCATAGATCTCTCCATCAAAGATATAATTAGGAGAATTTCTTCTTTACACCAAGAACTCCTTCACCTAGCCACTACTGTTTCCATAAACTCACTCCTCATGTACCAAAAGGAGTCATAACTAAAATTCCTCAGAGCCCAACTAAACTTTTTACAAAATCAGCCAAAACCCCAGCCAATGCCATATGACCTTTTTACACCTTATCCTGTTTATACTCCACCTCATACGGCCCAATCACAACCTTTATCTTTTTCCCAAGACCCAAGTGTTTTTGGCTCATCCTCTTTCCTACCAACACGAGTTGCTACAGAAAGGCAAGCCATAAAGAGGAAATAATCAACAGAAAAAGAAAAGGAATATGTTCCAAGCACTTGAAAGTCTCAAAACCCGCTTAAAAGAAGTGAAGATCAATTTATGGTTGAATATGCCAATCCGATTACTACTTTCCTCGAGAAGGTTGCTAAACAAGAGACGAGTTCAGAGCGCAAGGTCAAACCAAGAAGATCTGAAAAGATAAAAGAAAAAGCAGAGTATGAAGTATTAATCCCACATTTCATGATGGCAGAACCAACTGTAGAAGAACAAGATATGGACAGCGATGATGGAAATATATACGAAGAAAGGAGAGAACATAAGACGCCTTAACCAGAGTGGAATTCAAGGTTTGATGCTGAACCACATCATGGTTTCTCTTTTGACGAAATTCCTCCATCAAAATGGCGAGACAAGATCTATGAGATGCATGTTTGGCATACGGAACATTTACTCCCTAGGAGTCACTCTCCTTACGGTCATTGACAAATTAGTCTCCAAATTCCAAGGACGACTCAGACAATGGTGGACAAGCCTTGGTGAATACCGACAGTTGCAAATACGCCAAACTCCTTTAATTGATGCATTGATTGGACACATCCACAATGAATTTCTTGGAGCATGGAATCATTACACGGACCAGACAAGAGAAGAATACCTCAGCATGAAGTGTTGTTCTTTCAAACAAAGAGATCTAGAAAAGCACTATGAGAGGATCTCTAA